AAGGTAAGAGTGTAGATTTGGTGTATCTGGATTTTCAGAAAGCATTTGACAAGGTGCCACATAAAAAGCTTGTAAAACAAATTATCTCTATAGGTGTGGAGAACAAGCTAGTAAAGTGGATAGAGTGGCTGGATGGAAGAAAGCAGAGGGTTGTTATAAATGGAGTTCAATCAAACTGGATTAATGTCACAAATGGGGTACCTCGGGGCTTAGTCTTAATACTGAAGTGCATGCCCTCAGGGCCCATTTAGTATGGGTGCAAAATTTCAGGTTCCTAGGTTCTTTCCTCTTGAAGCTATGACAGTCAACTTTTTATACACACCTTTCCTTATTTATGTTCCTTGCATTGTACTTTAATAATTAAAGGGCAAATATTTTAAAAGGCAAAGCTTTTTAACTAAATATTTTTCTTGTTTATTTAATTCTGTTTGTAGAAGGTTTTACTTTGAAATTTTCACTTTAAAAGAGGTATATTATATTTTTGTGTTGTATGCTGAAAATATAAATTTTTTACGTATTGTGCATTTGTTTCTTCTGAAGAGTTTTTATTTTGATTATTGTGTTATTTTTTTTAGCTAGCAGGGTATGATAGACAACAATGTTCGTTATGTTATGGGAGTCCTGTGTATGGGTGATCATAGCATACGTGCCTAGTCTGACTATAGGTTGTCATTTTCCTGTGATTTCTCCAGATTACATTGTGACTTTCTAATTGGTGTTAAACATAAATTATTGTCAGCTTGAGAACAAGCCTACAAAATTACTAACTTTTCCAAACTTCTAATTTTGGAGCATGCTAAATCTGGCTGAGATTGTGTGTAAAATTCAGCTTGAGGTGTTACTTGACTGATCAAAGAACTTATTTGTTTTTCATGGAATAGTTGCACTGTGTCCTCCTTTGCCACATACCTTGTGATTGTCACATGGAAAGATAGTTCTACATCTCTTCTCAGTAGTCTTTTTCTAATTTGGTCAACTACGAAGAGACTTGTGATTGCAGTTTGACACATTTTAGGAGAGATGTTGTTCAAAGGTTCTTTACTGTGCCAGATGTTTACACTTTTTATTGCTCTACCAGGTATTTTTTAGTTGTTTACCATCTTGGACATTCTTTGATTTTGTACCAGATGTTTTAAGTAATTGTCAAAAGTTCTGATTTAGCTACAACACAAGTTCATTGTTATGCACAGTGAATTTTTATATTGTATTCTGACTTGTTTATAGTTTGTTTTTTTTTACTTCTCTTTTATATGTTATTGTACAACAGGTGGACAATTCAGTGTAAAACTTCTTGATTAATAGCAGTTTATAAATTGTTGTTTGGGTAATGTGAAGAATGCTACTTATTAAATAATCCTTATATTTTGTACCAATGGTTGAAGATAAAATAATTACAAAAAAACTTGTTAGAAGACTATGGTCAAGACATGTTTCATTCCATTCAGACTGCACAAGAAACCATAGAAAAACTTTCTAAAATTAGTTACACATTGTAGATGTTTGATCAATATAAATATCATTAAAAGCTCTGATTAGAGTTACAGTATATGTTTTGTATAAACTGTCAGTCTTTTCACTATGTATCTTGTTAATCTTATTCTTTCTGTAGAATCTTCCCCAAAGAGAAGGGATCCTGAACTTGATTCTTGTAAATGAAATGGTAAGTTATTGTTTACTAGAATATGATTTTTTTATGCTGTGTAGAATTTTAACAATGAAGTATTCTCAACATTTATATTTTGCTTATCAGTACTAGATTTTTTGACCAATTATTTTATAATCTAGTAAACATTTTTTCTTGATCTTACAAAATGGCATAGTTTTCACACAAAAGTTGTTGAAAATTGCATTTCAGTTTAATTTTAAAATGTCAAAATTATTAAGCAGCATGATGAAGTGAGCGTTAAAGAATTTTTTAGTTTGGTTAAAAACATTCATTTTTTACTGGTTGGAGAAAGAACTTGAAATTACATTTGTTGGTAGTAAAGCACAAGCAGTGAACTCAAAGCTGGGAGAATTCATTAAACAGGTTGATTTTATGCAAGACATGGAAATAAACTTGTAAACTATGTTTCATGGAGTTGCTCTACAATTTTAACTAATTTATTGTAAAATTTTTAAGAGCATCATGTCTGTAAACTGTATAAAATAAACCATTGTTTCTAATATTCAAAATGGAAGAGCATACTGAGCACCTTTGGTGCCTATCAGTGAACTCTAAGATTTTATTAGGCTTTTTTCCTTTAAGCATTATCATCACTGCAGTAAGTAGATGAACAGTATATGTGTATTTAATGTGCATGTATAAGCTAGGTTCCATATACTTTTTCTTTCACCCCATCCTATCTTAGAAATTTTTTTTTAATCTGAGTAGAATTCAAAAACACGTAATTTTTATTAAAGCAAAACAATATTATTTGCTGAAATATTAAATATGAACTAACAAAATCTGCATGAATAAATACAAAATTACCTTACGTTATGTGACTGTTATTTTCAGACTTTGTCACAGTGTGCCTCTCATAAGTTTGATTTGAGAGGTTGCACTGTGCAATACCAGTCTGATGTGTCAAGATTGCTAAGAGATTTGACTTGGCAAGAGGAACAAAAGTTGTTTGAGATAATTTTCTCCGAGTTATTTTTCTAACAGCTTTTTTTTTCTTTTCATGTCACCAAACCTTTTTTAAATCCTTAAACCCGAGCAGATGCTGTAAGCTGAAAATCCCAACTTACCCATTGGGCAGTGACATTTGTCTCTTTTGCTGAAAACTAATCCAAACCATTTTATTAACCACTTTTTATAATTAGACCAGAAATTTTATAAGGTATGATGATAATTATTAGGACATCATGAAAATAATTCCAGCAGAATGCACAAAAAAATATGGGTTTAAAAAAAGTTAAAAAATAATAATTGCAGTTGGTGTCTTCCTTTGGTGCACTTCAACTCCCCATAGCTTCAGAACCACTATCCCTTGGTGCACTTCAACTCCCCATAGCTTCAGAACCACTATCCTTTGGTAATAGAATTAAACTTTATTTAACAGTTTAATTTTTCCTTCAGTATATAAAATTTGACTACACATGTTAGATGTGTTTATTTTGTTTACCTAATTAAATAGGTTTGTGAAGATGTAAGTGTGTCTGATGTAGCAAAAATGACAGGAGGTTTCTCAGGGAGTGATCTTCGAGAGTTATGCCGCATTGCTGCTTTGTATAGGGTGAGGGACTACCTTAAGGAAGAGGCAAAACAAAAAGAAGTAAGAGAATGGTAAGCCATATGTTATAAAATCTGTGGTGTTGAGTACGTGCTCAATAAAACACAACAGAAAATGTAATACCACTATTTATGATAAGTTGTGTTAAGCTGCAATGGATTTTTCTATGAGTTATTCTACTCACTTTAGAAGTGTGTGTAAATCTACCATAAATCACTGCCCAGACAAATCTTGATCCGAAATCCATACTGGGCTAATTTAAGGTTATGCAAAGAAAAAAAAACATTGTAATCTAGCATGATTTTGACAAAATACAGTACAAGGTCTATTGGTTCCATTGCTTTGCCAATTTTCAGCATTTAATATTGTTGCAGATGTAATATTGTTCTTATTTTGAGGTTGTAACTCTTCTTACAGACATACAGTTCTATTTTTAGAAACTACAGTCATTTCTTTACTCAACTTTCATGATATTCAGTAAATATTATGGTGCCAAAAGTTTTAATGACTGCTATGATGTATCCTAAAAGTGTCACAGAGTTAGTCCTTATGAGGTTAGGTATATATCTTGCAGGGTTTAGTAAGGATGGTTATAATTGAAACTGAGGTTTTCAATATCTCTTCAAAAAGTACTTTCAACTGCAGAATATTTTTAAATTAAAACTTATCAAAGTCTCAGCATTTTTACTGTCTGAAATAGTTTGCAAGTCTTATTTTAATCTCTGTTCTTTTATTGTATATATATAAAAAATGATAAATCTTCATGATGGCAGACTGTCCTGGAATTTCTTGACATGTTTGAATAAGTGATGCTACAGTGAAGAGGTTAGAATATGAAGAATGCAAAGTTGTATTCAGATGAACAGAAAAAGTTGCCCATTTAATAAATGCACAGCATGTGTTTTTTGTGGTCTGTTGTTAAGCATATGAACTCAGTGTAGGCATACTGCATGGAGCTTGAACCTAGCTGGCCCTACAGTGGTATGTCTCAGGGTTTATATTGCTCAAAATCAGGTTTCAGTTTCTGCAGTGGGCACAACACAGATTGCCCATAGTGTAGCTTTGTGCTTAATAACTATCTAACAGACAAACTGGACCTATCAGCTCCTGATGTGAATGATCCTCATTAAGTGCTTTCAAAGGAGAAGCAGCATTCAGGGTAACAAAAGAAGTGGCTGATATGGAGCAGACATTACAGATGCAAGATTTGTTATAGGAGAGCCATATGGTTTTATGATTGTTAGATTTATTCGGTACTACAGTTTTGGGAGATCATCTGGTATACAATTCAACAATAATCCCTGCTATGTGGTAGAGGCCAACTCTACAATGCTCTGCACATCTGTGCATTAGCTATGTAGTACAGGCAACATTATGGTTGCACCATGTTCATTGTGTTATTAGATTGCATATCTAATAATCACTGAACTAATAGGGATAAATTTAACTAAAATAGTAGGTATGTCAAGAGAGCTTGTGTTATTTGGTATTTCTGTAGGTGAGGTTTTACCCAAAACGTTAGGCGTGTCTTGACAGTTATACAATTTGGCTTATTTGAAAGATACTGTTATAAAGGAGATTGCAACTGTTTCTCTTGCAATGTATTAAACAGCTTTTAGCCACTTTGTGGGATGCATAAGAACACCTTCCTTAACTTTATACCCCACTTTCAAAGTGTAATTTATGCAGTGTGTAAGAAATTCATTATTAACTGCAACATCACATGTTGAGAAATTCTCTGGTGTTTTGAGTTATGATCTAAACTTTCAAGATATATCTAGCTAATGTGGAAATACACTATTTTTAGCAAATGCACCATTCAAATGTAGAGTGCACACCTGCATTTGAAACTTCAAAATTTAAGTAAGGTTAATTTTAACTGGATCTTAAGAATTGTGATCTTGTAATAATTATAGAGTGTAACTTGTAAAGAAAAATAAAGCATTTTTAAACAGTGCATTTCTTAATTTGTCTGCCCCTTCCAAAATATAGGTTTCATTTCTTAAGAAACTTTCACCCCTTGCAATTATCAATGTTTTGTTTCTTACATGATTTTCTCTCTGTGTTAGTAGTTTTATTGCCACAGCCCTTTTATGATGCTGTAGCTTACAGTTAGATGTTGGTTTGAACAGCAATTTATGGTTTCTTGAGATATTGTCTAGCTGGAGCTCTGTAAGGTTGAAAAATAAAGATAATGAGAGGAATTTAATATTTTCTAATTTCTTTAGACATAGTTCTCATATTAAATTATATATATATATTTGAAAGCTATGGAATTTTTTTCCTTGGACAAGATTTCACATAAGCCTAGGTAGTTGATGACTCAGATCCTCATTTTTTTGAATATTGTTGATAAGTTTATAGAAATGAATAAAAACCCTATAACCCGAGTGCTTTGGAAAGGTGGGGCAAACTGGGATAAGTTGATATAATTCAAATAATACACAGAAATAACTTAATATTTATCTTCAAGAATGTTGTTAGAAAAAATTACAATACTATTATACTTACCCTGACAAAGGTTAAGGTAATGCCATTTCGAAAGCAGAGTTCATAGGTCACTGATTTTTTTGATTTTTTTATTTTATTTAGAAGTTGTATGACTACTGTAATTGGCAAAATAATGAATCAGAAATTCTAAGAAGAAAGAAAGTATTTTTAATGTTGCTTAGAACAGTGACTTGCAATTAAACTTAGAGAAATAATGAATCAAATGCTGAACTTAGGTAGTATTTAGTTTGTACCAAGTCTCGTGCAATATCAATCAGAATGTCACTCATAGCTCAGATCAGTTTCCAGCACTTGTTGAAAGCTAAAATCAATCAGATCCCACAGAAATTTTATAAAATTCTTATTTATTTGTTCAATATATGAATGTAGACTTAAAAGAAAAAATTATTTATTGCACTCATCTCTCTAACGTGCATTAAAGTTAGATATATCAATATTTCCCAGGATGTGTATGCAACCTGATCAGTAACACCTCTATAGTTCCTAAAGGATTATATAATTTTATTTTTTGGCTTTCTATGGATTTGATATGTAAAATGTTAAAAAGAAATACACAGTTTCTCCCTATCTATTAATTACCCTGTTATTTTTAATAAACGTTCTGTGTATGTATACACTAGTGAATATAAAAAATTTGTCTTAACCCTGATCACAAATCCAAAATGTATTTGTTTGGCAAAATTTAGATTTTCAATTATTTTACAAGTTTATAAGATAAACTTTTATTAATTTTGTATAGCAAAGATGAAGAAAATTATTATGATGCTCTTCGACCAATCAGCATGGAAGATTTTATTTGTGCCCTAGAGAAAATGAAATACTCGAAAGTGCATTCGCTGTCAGCTATACAGTCAATTCCTGTAGACTGAACAAAATGATATTCTAGCCCTCATTGTTTTGTGATAACTTGCTAAGTTTATTAGAAATGTAGAGATTTGTCTGCAAACATTTTATAAAAGACAAGCTTGAGATGGTCATGGATAATTAGATGTTACTCACCTAATAGAGAAATCAACTTAGATAATTTAAGAAAATGACACCATCTTCTAATGGACAAAAAATTATTTTCTAACTTCTGGTTGACTAGTGGTTTTTAGAAATTTCAGATCAACGACAAAAAGTTTGAAATTTCTTATTCTACCTGTAAGACCTTAGTAAATTAGAAATTGATACACCAAGTTTACTAAAATTCAAATTTTTGTGCATTTAAATCTGAAGTAATCGTTCTAACAATGTATAGGTACCCAAAATTAAAAAACAACAGTCTTTTAGTTACTAAATTATACATGCCTTACAACATAGGAAAATAAAATCCCTTTATTTCTTTCCTGTACGAAAATATGAAAATATACAGTTTTAAACTTCTTAGAGTATCTTATTGTTGTTACTAGACTAGTAAATAGTATTGCAGTTTTATGGCACAAATGAAAATATTGAAACTCAAGAATGGAAAAAATAGTAGCTTTCTTCCTTTCCAAAAACTTGTTAGAAACACAAAGAAGCTCAGTACACTGTTGTATGATACTGAAATTAGAGCTTCAGTTTTGAAAACATGAACTCTATTTTGTATGTACTTGTTACATAAAATTAGTTTAATACAAATGGAACATAGCATTTTTCTATATACTACACGAACATATAATGTTGAAAATAAATGTTATTTTTATCTCTTTTTTTTTTTTAAACAATAGTTTACATCCTAATATTGGAACTAATTAAGCAACGTGACAAATTGCACTAGTATACTAATATCACAAATTTAGTAAAAGTTAAAATCTTTGGTTAAATGGAAGAACTGGAGTATGTACAAATCTAATATTAAGAGAACAATGTTAAACATTTTACATCTCTTATGTGTATACTGAGAACGATATAAATAGCATTACTCCATTAATGTCATTTTTAATATTATTTTAAGTTGAAACTTAGCATTCCTGTCATTGAGAATAAAATCATTTGTATAAGAGAGTTGTAGAGGTATCTATATACAAAAAAAAAAAATTGGTCAAATCAATTTAATATCTGAAGGTCTTGGAAGTTTGGGATTTATACAACCAAACACACAGTTTTACTGTTAATGTAGAACTCTAGGTAAACAGCTTATGGTATAGACTAAAGAAATTGTGACACGTCATTTCACTGAACAGAAAATCTGTTACTCATATTAAAAATTCCTTGTACAAGTTAAGTGGTTTAAATTAAACATTTGTTCCAACAAAGAAAAAAGCACTAGTAGTATTTATTATCACACATCTACTTAGTGAAGTTCAACAGTTTTAGTTTTGGAAACTAAAAAGACCTTTTATCCACTGCATGCAGAAATAAGTTGGGTTCAAATTTCAAACTCTTAAACCTTTACTGATAGATTGTATGAAAATCTTGTATTTGTCAGGTTTTTTCATTTTTTCTTTTCCACATAATTGAATGAATGAATATATAGGTTTTAAATTTTGGCTAAACATAAACTCTACATGAAAAACAATGAAAAATGCTTTACTTAAACCCAACATCGGGTGTTCCACCAAAAACGTATATTACACTATTTGAGATAAAACCTAATTAACCTGTTCCACCGATACTAGTCGCCCACTCTTGGGGAAGGTCGCTGACGGTCTAGTCTTGAGAGAAGAGAATGCAGTTCTACTCCTTGGTTAACAGAAAAACCTCTTTGTTTTTCCATGGCTGTGGTCTGATTCGCCATTTCTAGAAGTAGTTTAATCATTTACTTAACTTTTAATAACTTTGTATTTCAGGAACACAGCTAATATTGTTACAGTATTATAATGAACATTATATACAAGATCTTGAAAAATGTGTACTTAAATACAGAATCAGTCTTAGTCCATAATATTTACTACCTCCACTATGCAAGATTCATCTGATTCTAAGCCTTTTACCAAAAAGAAAAACAAGGCAGAATAGTGGTGCTTTTTTAGGGTATGGCTTCATTAACTGTAGAAATGGAAACCAAGATTCCAAGCTACAGTGCATTATTTGTAGAGAAGTTCTTGCTAACAAGAGCTTACAACTGTCAAAATTAAAAAGACACTTAGAAGCACAACATACAGCCCTTGTTGATAATCTCTTTGAATACTTCAAAAGGAGAAAACATGAATTAAAGCTATCAGCACAAGTGCTTAGTAAGTCAACCACCCTAAATGATAAAGGACTACTGGCATCATATTTAGTTGCATATGTTACACAACAGAAAATGGCTTACACAGTTGCTGAAAAACTTATTCTCCCAGCTTCTCTGGATCAGCAGTCATCAAAAATTCTATGCACTATAAAAATTGATATCACAATATCTTTGAGAATACGTACCATTGCAGAGCATTTAGAAACCAAGCTCATTACATATCTACTGTCTGCTTCTCTGGATATAGTGCATAGAATTTTTGATGACTTCTGAAAAATTGATATCGCAATATCTTTGAGAATACGTACCATTGCAGAGCATTTAGAAACCAAGCTCATTACATATCTACTGTCTGCTGGGGATTTTGTAATCCAACTTGATGAGAGCACTGACATTTCAAATTGTAAAATATTATTATTTTATGTGAGAAATGTATGGAAGATTTACTGTGTTGTCTAACCTTAACAAAAAACACAACAGGGTCAGAGATATTCAATGCACTGGATGACTGCATAGTTGGAAAATACAAGTTGGACTGGGCTAATGGTAAAGGAATTACAAATGATGATGCAGCAAACATGAACGGTAGAAATAGTGGAGTTGTAAAAAAAATATCTGAGGCAACTGGTAATAACATTAATTGGAATCACTGTTCACCATGAAACCTTGGTTTCCAAGGATATTCCTAATAATCTCATTGTAGCTTTAAAAGAAGTGGTTAATATAATTAAGGGAAGCTCGATTAATAGTCAGCCTTTTAAAGTGATTTTAGATATGGGATCCAATCATAATCATTTAATGTATCACATTGAAGTTCCGTATTTGTAAGGGACAGGGTCCTTACAAGGGTGCATAATATAATAGAAGAGATTCTCCTTTTTCTAGTTGAAAAAAAAGTCAGGTTTGGCAGATTTGTTTTTGTAATGACAATTGTATAATGAAGTTGTCATATTTATCTAACATTTTTTTTCACTTCTGAATGAGCTTAATTTGAAGCTAAAAGGAAGAGACAACGATTTGTTGTGACATTGTGAACAGAGCCAAGTATTTCAAAAATCATTACTATTGTGGCAAGCCAGACTTTGAGGTGATCACCTGAGCTACTACCTGTTCCCAACACTTGCAACACCTTGAAGAGAACAGTGTCAATGAAGAAAAGCTGAACGAGATAAAATGTGCCATACAGTTACATATCTCTGCTTTGTCTGACAATTTTATTCAATTTTTCTGAAGAGAAGTTGAAAGTTTTGAAAGAAAAGCACTGTGTGAAAGCTCTTTGTGCTTTTGAAAACCCTGAATTTATTACAGGACTTAACTTGACACCTAAACAAGAAAATGAGCTGCTCCATCTCACCTGCAACAGTACACAAATGAAACACAAATTATCAAATTTGTCATCATTTTGGATCAGTGTTTCCAAAGAATATCCACTTTTAAGTAAGATGAGTGTTTTTCTGTTGCTACCTTTTACAACAACTTACATGTGGGAAATTGGATCTTCCACTCTCACAAGGTTAAAAATGAAAGAGAGAAACAGACTCAGTAGCACAGCGTGGCACATTCATTACGTGATCCAGATTGGGGCAAAATAGTGAGCAACAGGAAGGCCCACTTGTCACATTAAGTAATTCAAACTGATTTCTTAGCTGTATATTTACTGAAGTAAATTTCTTTTGAGTAACATCTAATGTTTACATGAAGTTAAAGGGTTGAAGTTACCATACCAATTAATATAATTTCAGAAATATTCTTGTCAGACAACTTTTTTCCCCTTTTGGGAGGGGGGGGGGAATCAAGGGTGTGTGCAATTTTCTTGCACTGGGTCATGGGACAAAGTTTGAAGAACACTGCTCTACACAAAGCAGCAGAGGGATTTTGTCTCTTGTTAAAGGTAAGATAAACACTAAAGAAAGCAGAAAAACCTAATACAAAGCAATAAGGGAACTTAAACCTTGTTAAAGACAGGGAGCATTCTATACTTTAAGAAAAGATGAATCAACATAGATCAGCAGAAAAACCTATATTTCTTGATGATGGCAGAATTAACTAACAGAAGCAAAGTAATATCAACCTTGGTTGAACCCCAGAACATAAGTCCATATTTCTTGTTGAAGAATAGAAGAACTCTCCCAAATAATAAAAAAAAAAGGTAGATTTGATAAATGAGGATACATGCTATACAAAGCAGTGGTGCACAACTCAATTTTTTGTTGGGTCCAATTTGGAATGTGATTGAGACTTGGCAGGCCATCATATTTCTTCCTCCGAACAATTTTTGACCCCTTTGCATTTTCTACTAACTCTGAAGGCTTTTAAATGGTGATGCAGAAACTATTAATAACAGACAAAACTGGGTGTACTTAACAATTCTATAAATAACAGTAAAATGTACTCAATAAAAACTACTGACTACGTCACGAGATGTGAACAAACAAATTACATTAAATTTATTGTACTCCACTTACAACAATATTCTTAGTGCTGTAGTGACATGGTGCTTAAAACTAATGAATGAAACAGGTCATGATCTTTGGGGGTTAAAAATATTTCCATCAAATTTTTAAAGATTTCAACTATGCGCACTATAATTTCGTGTCATGGGCTGTACAAAAGAAGCTGGCAGAACAAAATTTTTAGCCAGTTTTGCCTTTAACAAAAATTAATACTTAATAGAAAAGGTTCACCGTTTCTTTAAAATAGTTTTCTTGCTGTTTTGTAAAGGAGGTAACTTTCTCTTCTTCAACAATAGTAGTAGTTTTTCTACTGCAGTGATGCAAAACATATGGCCCATGGGCCAAACACTAAAGGATCTACTTTTGTTAAAGATGGGAAAGTTTGGTAGAAGAGACTGAGAAGATGTAGTCACTTGTATGTTATCAAAAACAAGTATCAAGCGGAATTTCTCTGCATCATACACGAAAGGGATAGCAATCAAAGAATGCTGAACTGAATGCAAATTATAACATTCAATTTTTGAAATTGAAAATAAAAAAAATCTACTAAGAGCAGTTAACACAGAGTAAAATGTTGTTTACCTGATATAGCTTTTAGCATTTTCAGCTTTGGACTGTAAGGAATGCCTAAATTTTGGAGATCTTTGTCTGTCAATCTTAGGAATATTCCAAGGTCAATCTAAATAAAACCAAAAATTCAATCAATTTTAATGAAGTTTTGGTCTTAACTTTACTATCACATCATGCTAAGATCCTTGTTTTACATTACAACAGAAATATATGCTGCGTAACATTTTCGAAGACATCTATGTTTTAAAACTAGCTTAAAACAACACTCAATCATTGCTATGTCTTACAATTACAGAGCTTAGACAGCCAAACATATGTTTAACTGGGCTATAAACTTACCTCATTTTGTAAAAATAAATCAGTGTACTTCATCAGTCCTAACTTACAAAAGAGTTCTGGTAAGTCTTTCACCTCTTCCAATAATGATACTGGCTCTTTTGGGTATACACTATCAAAGTAATTACTGTTGCAGAAAAGACTATCTTCTAGAAAAAAAAGTGGTAATATCTCAGTAATAAATGCCATTGTTCTAACTATAAGCCATAAATTAATAACCAGTAAATCATCTTAACTGTTTCTACCTCTTTCTAAACTTGTATCTTCACAAACTAAATCCATTCCAAAACTTAAAGTTTAGATCTACATAGCTTTATCACACACTTAGTTCAAACATTCAGTAGAAAATAGTAGTAATGTTAAGTACACAACTTTATTAAGAGTTTACCATATAGAAATCAGTTATTCTCATATAACTTTTCATTACAACTAAATAACCAAAACTAAGTGTATTCCCTTAAAAACTTCATTGGAAGCCCATAGACTGGCAAAACCTGGATAAAGTCAAAAGGATAAATACTTAAAAAAGCAGAATTTCATTTGAACCCATAAAGAAGCAATTAAGTTCCAAATTTCATGTTAGTTTAGTGTAAGTTTTTGAAGAATAACAATAATACCACACACATTTCAATATTTATAGTTGTTTTTTTTAATGACCTAATACAATCACTAATGGAAGGTACAAGATTTTGAGTACTTTATATGGTTATAATCATTATTGTTTATTTTAAGCATAGATTATGTAGAAACGATACATACCATCTTGGAAGTGATGATTCTGCTCCATTAATTTGAAATTTTGAACACTTGCAAGATCTTTATGGTTAAATCCCCACTCTGAACTAAAATCATACTGTTCCTCCTGTATCATTGAATAAAATAAAACATCAGTACATAACACTAGAATGCTAGTAACACAAATTTAATTCTTTACAGCTGTGAACTCAAAATGAAAATCAACATTTCTTATTACATGATATCAAAACAATTATAATAACGGTAACAAATTCTAGTGGCATTATTAGGTCATGCAAATTTGAAGTGTGTAACAGACTAAATTAAAATGCTTAGTTTATTAATAAAATAAATTATTAACACTAGCCTTTTGCAATCATTCATGTGTGTAAATCAAAGGTAAAATGAATAGTTCACATTGGTATGAGCTTCAGTCTTACCTTCAGTGTTTCAAAATCATCTCGCTTTCGACATTCTCGCAATTTGTTTCTAAATAAATACTCTGGTGTTGATTTTGAAAATCCCTGTCCAGACCAGACACTTGTAGGAACCCTAGCCTCAGCACTGACAGGACGTTGCATTGCTATAAAATTGAAAAAAATGAGAAATTGGTCATAATGATTTTTATTGTATTTTTTTTCATTAAACTCATTACTACGATGATCATTAAAGTTCAATATCTTTAGCACACCTTTTAAAATTTTCAAGGAAACAATATCACTTACGTAAGTGAATTCTGTGAAATTATTGAGTTACTTCCCTAAACCTGTACTAATTACAAACATACAGTTAAGAAATACACACAACCAAGTGGCACATTGAAAATCTTTATTAAAACTGCAGAAACTTGCATTATGTTAAACAAGAAGTTAAGTATACTGGAAATCTGTTTTATTCAAATAGTTTTCAGCAACACAAAACATGCCCACTAAGAAAAGAAAAAAAAAAGGCCAGGTGAGTTTTAAATATTAGTTATGCTATATTTTCATTGACATCATAAAACTTACCTTTGAAGCTTTGGACCAATCTGATTTTTTATTTTGCATTTGTTCTAAATTTGTCTTGTTTTTCCGGTATCTCTCAAATTCATAGCCAAATATTCTAAGTTCTTAAAATCCATAACATGTGTACACTAATTCAAGTTTATTGCTGAACCTTGATATTTAAAATAATTCTTTAATCATTTTGAAAAAGTTGGGTTATTGAAAATACCCTGTTTTACCCTTAGTAGCTAAGAACATTCCTTCTTCATAACCAAATGGGAAGTCATTCTTAAGTACCCTCTCACAGCCAACAGCTTTGGGATCACACCCATTCTTGTGGTCTGAAACGCTTTTGTAGTGATGAAATGGTCCACTACACAGAAGAAATTTCAAAACACAAAAATTACTACATCAATAAAATTATGAACTTCAAGTACAAAATACATTCAGAATCTTTAATTACACAAGCCTGGTAATATAAACTTCATGAAAGTTGTTTTGTTTTTAATAATGGATATTCCATAATTCAGCTATGCAGATTTTGAAAATAATTTTTTTCTATTATATAAAGATTTTTTACAAGTTGGGAAGAAAAAAACTCTTACTTAGATCAAATTATTATTTCGTTTACCACAATAAACATTTCTTATTATTATGTTTGTTAACAAAAATACAAACTGAAGAAAAGGGAAGAACACTGATGTCAAATGAATATGCATACTCATTCATCCTGATTTTTTTTTGTGAAATCTACATCTTTTAGTCTCCAAACTGTGTTATGGTCTTTCTTTTATGTATTGCATTATGACGTTTTGTGAAAAATATGTAAATAGTCAGATCCAGCATATAGGAATTACTGTAGAACATGTAAATATTTCAAGACAATAAAACCATTGAAGGCTTGTGTTAGTGAAGCACTTGTGCTTAACTATAATAATTGTCAATAATGCACCAGCTACCACACTCTAAATACTAAGACTACTTGGTTACATATAGTGTTGTACATGGTTTTCGACAAAACACTTACAGTATTTCAGGTTTTGAAAAGCTTATATGTTCATGTCAAGGTGATCATTTAACCTTTTAATGCAAACTTAGGTCCACAGTACTTCTAATAACAGTATCAATCTTCTAAACAAAGAACTAATCAAAGTAAAATAAAATTGTAAAAGCTTATAGGATAAGTATGCCTGACAATAGAAAGTGTTTTGATTCAACATAGAAAAATTTTATTTTATGTTACTTTGCTAGTAAAGATGTGGAGACTGTTCTTGATAAAGATGGGCCACCTGTTCCACCTGCCATTGATAATCCAAGACTGCTTTCCTTGTTCATAGACAAACCTCTCCCTGAAATGGGTCGTGGACAACCTGTAGTTCCTGGAAAGCATGGTTGCTTATCCCATCCATATGGCTTGCCTAGTAATTTAACACAAACGTGCATAAAAATTACTTAAGGAGATTACAAAATAAAGAAAGATTTTTATTCTAACTTTAAACTTTTCTTTACACTTTTAAAAACACACACTCCTATACCGGTGTGAAGTACATGATGGTGTTAAGTACTTGACACAAGTAAAGGACTTAAATAAACATAAAATTTGTTGAAAAACCCGATCTTTCTTGAACAACAGTCAGTTTGGATTTAACTTTGAGTAAGTAAGCTTTCTTTAATAAGAATTAATTTACTCTTCAGTCTTTGTGAACCCTTCCCTTGGGTGTTAATCAGTGAGTAAAAAGAACATCCATTATTATTCCATCAGTTTAAATTTCTTTCATGAGTAAGAAGGCCTTCCTGTAAAGTTCCATCAGTTTAGGTTTCACTCAGTGAGTAAGAAGATCCTTCCACAAGTTTTGGTTTCATTCAATGAGTAAAAGTCCTTTAAAATTACTTGAGTTTAACTAAATGAGTAATAAGGTCCTTCAAAGTTCTGTCAGTTTAAGTTTCACTTGGGGAATAAGAAGGACTTCCTGTCAAGTCCCATCAGCAGTTTAGGTTTCAACTAGTAAAAAAAAAAATCATTACATTAAAAAAAAAAGGTTTCTCTCTGAGTAGATAGATTTTTCAGTAGGATGCTCTTAATTTTTTAGGTTTCAACTTCTGGAAAAAAAAAAAGTTTTTCCTTCTATCAAAGTCCTATACTAGGAAGAAAATATCACCGAAATATTAATTTTTTCCAATGAAAAAACCTACTTTATCTGAATCCCAAGAAGATGAACAAATTCGAATATCTCCCATTTTCTTTGTTCTTTTAAGATGAATACATTGGTCGTGATTTTTTTATCCTACATGTTTCATTGAACAGCTTTTCTTTCACTGGTGAAAAATTACTGTATTTGAAAAATAAGAATTTTCAAAATAAACTTGTTAAAGTAACAGTGAGTAAACTTCTTTATATCAAATGTTGAAGAAGTTCTTCTTCAATCCTTATCCTTTAACTTTAAAATCAGAAAACAAGTATTTATACTAACCCTTATCTGAGATTAAAACATTCCGATCATCTGCAGTCCCAAGTTTGTTGGAAAATTCTGAACATATGGAGTGGATTGGACTTTGTCTTGGACTGATGTTTGGACTAGAAATACTACTGCTCCTACTGCTGTTGCTCCCAGAAAACTCTGTGAGAAGAAAGCAGCTAGTACAGTTCACAGTTACTAGAAACCTAGAAGATACTTTAACAAGCTAAAAAATTTAAATGACAGGATCACCATGAAAAATAATTACCAAACATCACCATAACTGAAATAAATCTCCCCATTACAGAAATGCCTGACTCTCAATGACTTATAGAATCCCCATTAAAGAAATACTTAACATGCATCACCTTAACAGACAGAATTGCAATAAAAATAAAAATATTTAAGATACATCACTATAATCTGCAATAAAATGTAATTTGTAGTCAGATCAGATTAAGGACTGAAGATATGATAAAACATTAACAGAGTAATATTAAAGATCTCAGTCAAAGGCCTTCATTAGTCTGAACAATAGATGAGATTAATGATGGTTGGAGACGGCTTGAATGGGTAATGAAGGAAAACTTTAATAAAAGTTTAACATAACAGCAAATGTACAATACTTCTAGGTTTAGTAATGAATCATTCCATATAGTGTATTGTTAACTGATTACTTCTACTTTTAGTAATGAATCATTCCATACAGTGTATTGTTGACTGATTACTTCTATGTTTACTGATGAATCATTCCATATAGTGTATTGTTAACTGATAAATTCTATGTTTACTAATGAATCTTTCCATACAGTGTATTGTTAACTGATTACTTCTATGTTTACTATTGAATCTTTCTATATAGTGTATTGTAAACTGATTACTTCTAGGTTTAGTAATGAATCATTCCATATAGTGTATTGTTAACTGATTACTTCTATGTTTACTATTGAATCATCCCATACAGTGTATTGTAAACTGATACTTCTAGGTTTAGTAATGAATCATTCCATATAGTGTATTGTTAACTGATTACTTCTACTTTTAGTAATGAATCATTCCATACAGTGTATTGTTAACTGATCAATTCTGTGTTTACTGATGAATCATTCCATATAGTGTATTGTTGACTGATTAATTCTATGTTAACTAATGAATCGTTTAATACGGTGTATTGAAAACTGATTAGTTCTAGGTTTACTGATGAATCATTCCATATAGTGTATTGTTGACTGATTAATTCTATGTTTACTAATGAGTCATTCCATACAGTGTATTGTTAACTGATTAATTCTGTGTTTACTGATGAATCATTCCATATAGTGTATTGTTGACTGATTAATTCTATGTTTACTAATGAATCATTCCATATACTGTATTGTTAACTGATTAATTCTATGTTTACTGATGAATCATTCCATACAGTGAATTGTAAACTGATTACTTCTAGGTTTAGTAATGTATCTTTCAATACAGTGTATTGAAAACTGATTACATCTAGGTTTAGTTATGAATCATTCCATATAGTGTATTGTTAACTGATTACTTCTGTTTATTAATGAATCATTTAATACAGTGTATTGTTAACTGATTACTTCTATGTTTACTAATGAATCATTCCATACAGTGTATTGTTAACTGATTAATTCTGTGTTTACTGATGAATCATTCCATACAGTGTATTGTAAACTGATTACTTTTAGGTTTAGTAATGAATCATTTAATACAGTGTATTGTTAACTGATTACTTTTAGGTTTAGTAATGAATCATTTAATACAGTGTATTGTTAACTGATTACTTCTATGTTTACTAATGAATCATTCCATACAGTGTATTGTTAACTGATTAATTCTGTGTTTACTGATATATCATTCCATAAAGTGTATTGTAAACTGATTACTTCTAGGTTTAGAAAAGTATTTTCAATACAGTGCATTGAAAACTGATTACTTCTAGGTTTAGTAATGTATCATTGAATACAGTATATTGTTAACTGGTCATGTCGAAATTTAGTATTGTTTGTTTGTTTGAAGCTAAGGACAAAGCTACACAATGGGCTATCTGTACTCTGCCCACCACAAGTATTGACACCCAATTTCTAGCACTGTTCTAGATTTAGTAATGAATCATTTGATAAAGTATATTGCTAATGATAGGTATAGTCTTTATATTTGGATACCCTTAGTAATCACTTAAGTTAAAGGAATTGAAGAGTAACTAAATGTTTTAATATAAAAAGGTCACAGGTTTGATATGAAAGAGACCTATGAATATTTGTTGGATATACAAGATTATTTAGTGTAAAAGTTATTATTTAGTTCATGTAGTAATCTAATAGTTAATGATTATTTAGTTTTCATAACAAGTGTGTTAAAGTTATAATAATGGTTGGAGACGGCTTGAATGGGTAATGAAGAAAAACTTTAATATATGTTTAATATAACAGCAAATTTTGTCGAAACATATAGTGTATTGTTAACTGATTCTAATGAATCATTCCTGTATTGTTAACTGATTACTTTTATGTTTATTTATATGGAATGATTCATTAGTAAACACAGAATTAATCAGTTAACAATACACTGTATGGAATGACTCATTAGTAAACATAGAATTAATCAGTTAACAATAAACTATATGGAATGATTCATCAGTAAACATAGAAGTAATCAGTTAACAATAAACTATATGAAATGATTCATTAGTAAACATAGAAGTAATCAGTTAACAATACACTATATTAAATGATTCATTAGTAAACATAGAAGTAATCAGTT